GCACCATCACCTTGACTCAGTCACACATGGTGCAGCAGGTCCTTCAGCGCTTCGGCTTCACGTACTCCTCGCCTCAGCCCACTCCTCTGTCTACCGGTCACTCGCTCTCAGCTCTGCCTTCGGATGAGTCCGTAGAGCCGAGTGGCCCGTATCCAGAGCTTGTGGGCTGCCTCATGTACCTGATGACCTGTACTAGACCTGACCTTGCATACCCTCTTAGCATCCTAGCACGCTATGTCGCTCCTGGCCGTCACCGGAAGGAGCACATGGATGCCGCTCAGAGGGTGTTGCGTTACCTGTGCAGTACGTCGGGCATGGGGCTTGTGCTTGGAGGACGGCGCGACGTTGTCCTCACTGGACACTCAGACGCTTCTTGGGCTGACGACCAGGCTACGCAACAGTCGTCTCAGGGTTACACCTTCAGCCTTGGCTCTGGCTCTGTTTCCTGGCGTTCTACACGCTCTTCTTCTGTTCTCAGCTCCAGTTGTGAGGCTGAGATCTACGCCACAGCCATGGCGGCCCAGGAGCTACGCTGGCTCACCTACCTGCTGACCGACCTTGGAGAGCGGCCTCGTTCTCCTCCAGTGCTGTACGTCGACAACAAGGCAGCCATTGCCTTGTGTGAGGAGCACAGACTGGAGCACAGAACGAAGCACATCGCTCTGCGCTACTTCCTAGCGCGAGAGCTGCAGCAGAGGGGTCAGCTTCGTCTCTCGTACGTGGCCACTCGGGCCAACACTGCTGATGTGTTCACCAAGGCGCTTCAGCCTTGTGAGCATCAGCGTTTCTGTACTGTTCTAGGCCTTGTGCCTACTCTCCCTCACTTGCTCACTTCTTGACTCTGCTTGTACTATGATCTCTATATATACCTGCATGCTTACACTTGCTAGGTTGTGATCACTGTACCTCTTGTTCTATCATCAAACTGCATGTGAACTGGTCTTGTGACCATTTGCTTGTGCTCGGAATTTGTGTGGTATCCTTGAGATCCACCCTGAGCTTGTCTTGCTTTGTTTTGCTTTGACTGGTCTTGTGACCACTTGCTCTCCCCCACTTAGCCTATGGGGGTGTGTCAAACATTATATATGTTGTATTTGTGTAGGCTACAGTGGGTTAGCCTTTAGGGGGTACACAATTCTAGGGTTAGGTACTTGTACTCCCTTTCCTTTCTAGTCCAACACTTCTTCTTTCTCACAGGTGGATTTCTTGGAGACCCACTTCCACTACGACATCATCTACAAGCCCGGGCTACACAACAAAGCAGACGCGTTGAGCCGCCCAGGTCATGTAGCAGGCATCCAACTCGACGGGATGAACCCTCTGCTCAAAGGTCTATTCCAACATGGGTACTCCGTGGACGGCGAGATAGCAACGGCAGAGAAACAGAAACTGTTACAGTGGGAGAAAGACCTAGCGGTAAGGAAGGGTTCAGGAAAGATTTGGGTACCGAATTACGCCCCGCTATGGCAGATCCTATTGGAGGAGTTCCACGACGTACCATACGCGGGACATTTCGGGAGCAACAAGACGTTAGCGGGAATAGCGAAGTATTACTACTGGCCCCGGATGGCAGCAGATGTACAGCAGTTCATCACCTCCTGCGACACGTGCCAGCGGATGAAGAGCAGCAAGCAGAAGAAAGCAGGGTTGCTTCAGCCTCTACCCGTACCGGAGCAGCCATGGCAGGTCGTTAGTCTCGACTTCATCACAGGACTTCCCTCGACCTCACGGGGACATGATTCCATCCTCGTAGTCATCGATAAGTTCTCCAAAATGGGGCACTTCCTACCGACCAACGCCACCGCCACAGCAGAAGCAACTGCTCGCCTCTTCTTCGACCGCATCATCACCATCCACGGCATCCCCGCTACACTCATCTCAGACAGAGACCCAAAATTCACCAGTAAGTTTTGGAAGGAGCTCATGGGATTATTGGGGACTAAACTTGCGATGTCCTCAGCATACCACCCACAGACTGACGGACAGACAGAGCGACTCAATCAAGTGGTTGAACAGTTACTGCGCACAGCTTGCAAGGACGACGTCAGCCACTGGGACACACAGTTACCGACCCTAGAGTTCGCTTACAACAACGCGTCACATGCGGCCACAGGGAAAACTCCTTTCTTCCTGTGTTACGGACGGGAACCACTCACACCACAGCAGCCTACCACACCGGCACACGTCCAAGCCGCACATGACTTCGTCACCACCATGCAGCAGCTATGGGAGAAGACTCAGCGACGACTCACCACGATGCAGACCTCCCAGAAGCAGTATGCCGATCGTCAGCGACGTGATCACTCAGTAGCAGTCGGAGATCAGGTGCTTCTTGACACGCGCAACTTGAACCTGTCTCACCTCCCATCCAAACTCCGGCCTCGCTTCTGTGGTCCTTTTCTCGTTGAGGCACAGGTGACACCAGTTACATTCTGCTTGCGCTTACCAGATATGTGGAAGCTTCACAATGCTTTCCATGTGCAGCTACTGAAACCCTACAAGGACCCCAACCAACAGTTCCAGGGACGGCAGCTACCGCCACCTCCACCTGTTCTTGTGCAGGACGAAACCGAGTACGAGATTGAGCGCGTCCTCTCTCATCGGCGCTGCGGCGGCAGGACCCTCGAGTTCGTGATACGCTGGAAGGGATACGACCCCACTGAGGACAGTTGGGTTGCAGAAGCTGATATGGGCAACGCACGCCGTGCTCTCAAGGACTATCTTGTCAAGCAGGGTGTATCTCACGCCACCCAGCTTTGAGGGGGGGACGTGTGAGAGTACGACGGCTTATGCCAGCTATGCTTGCTTGCCTTTACTTTTTTTTGCTATTTCTAGCATAGGAAAATTATATGCATGCATGAATTGCTTGATTTCCTAGGCTAGGTGCTTTCCTATATTTTATTATAGTTATAGCACCGAGCTAGGTTGCGTGCACCGAATTCTGGCTTTTCGGTTGCCACCGAATTGCCTTCTACCGAATTCGGGAAGGATCTGTTCGGGACGCTTCGCGACCCGCGGAACCTTCGCGTAACACCTGGTTACGGGGCCTTGTGTCGAGCCTATATATAGCCTCGTGTTGTACCCAGGTGATCATTCAATTCACATTCTCTTTTCTGAGCTCGATCCTAGATCCTCACAAGAACGGCTTCGCGAACAGGACGAAACACATCGCCTTGCGATACTTCTTCGTGAAGGACGAGATCGAGAAGGGGAAACTCGAACTATCATACTGCCCCACGTCCGAAATGGCAGCTGACTACTTGACCAAGAAACTTGGAAAGCAGAAGTTCGACTACTGCATGCTGCTGACTGGACAGAGCCACGTCACCAACAGCGACACTCCGGAAGCGAAGGGGAGTGTTGGAAGCAATTAACTCTAAGCGCCTCTGTCGTGTCGAAACTCCAAGACACAAGCGAAGCAAAGCACTATCGAAGCACCAGCGAGTCAACCCTCGGAGGTTGAAGTAACTGTCGGAGGTTATGCGAAATTCAAAGGTCAGCGACCTTTGACCTGACAAGTACAGCGCGACAGCAAGGACACACAACTGACTCGTTACAGAGCAGTTGCCCGAGTCGTCACTGTATCGAACCGCAACAGCAACAGTAAAGTAGTTATAACTGTGTCTTTTCATATTCCCTGTGTTCATATATAATCTTGTATCTCTTTGTTTTAATCAACTTTGCCCTCACATACTAGCGCAAGGTGGTTCACAACTCTTCATTAAACGCTTCCGCTACTACATCAGTTATACCCAGAGTTCACCCCTGCAAAAGATCCTAAGGGCTATTTTCTCAGCCCAACAGGGACTACCTAGAACCCTGATTAGAAAGGGTGGCCCAAAACCAATCGAGAGCCCTGCTTGCTACCGGTACTTGTAACACGTAGTCACCAACATAGAATATCGATCCGTGTGTTCAGAAATTCCATATATCTTCACACAGACAAGGAGGAAATGGAAGGGTCTGGCTGGTGAGAAAGTAGTTTCCAGAGCGGCGAGTACAAAATAATTCTCATTTGTCCCTGAACCAAGTACGGTACCACACCAGGAAAAAACTTACAATCACGCAAATCCAGTAAAGCATGCAGTGGTATTGCATGGAGCAAATGGAAATGTGTTTGGTGCTATCATGGATTCAGTGGTGAGAACAAAGGGCTTATGGTAGGGCCCGTGCTTGAAATCAACTTCAATAAACAGTGCTCGATACCCCACCTGTGCACAGGAGCGCGGGGGAGAGAACAGACGAAAAATGGTGAAATAAGGTTACCGGTATGAACATGGTGATAAGATGGTTGAACACATCGAAGAAGCATCCAATTGGTGCGGTGCTGACAATGGAAAATGCGCCTCGGACTGGGGAGGCATTTGAAATGGTAAACAGAAAAGTAGAGCATCAAATGTTGGTAACTTAGGGGAACCAGCTTGAAAGACCACTACAGCTGGGAAAGCCATTACAGCTGGGAAAGCCACTACAGCTGGGAAAGCAACTACAGCTGGGAAAGCAACTACAGCTGGGAAAGCAACTACAGCTGGGAAAGCAACTACAGCTGGGAAAGCCACTGCAGTTGGGAAAGCCACTGCAGCTGGGAAAGCAACTACAGCTGGGAAAGCCACTACAGCTGGGAAAGCAACTACAGCTGGGAAAGCCACTACAGCTGGGAAAGCCACTACAGCCGGGAAAGACACTACAGCTGGGAAAGCCACTACAGCTGGGAAAGCCACTACGGCTGGGAAAGCCACTGCAGCTGGGAAAGCCACTACGACTGGGAAAGCCAGCGAAAGTGCAACGCAGTCACTGCTGAAGCACAACATCACATGCTGCTCCTCCTTTATAGGAACATTCCTTGTCCAGTCACAGTTGACTCAAAAAAGGAGATTCCCCATAAGAGGAGTACCACATCTCAATACTTGTTTGAACTTTGCCACACTTAATGAAATAATTCATTCAACAGTTCAACAATGATACACTTCAGAACACTTCATTATGACAAGTCACCACACTCAGTTCAACCACGCTTCATCCCACACACGCACCTTGGGAATGTCTTTGACCGACGAGCTGAAGTGCCAGAGCCCGTCAGGCTGCAGTGCGGGCGGCGAGACGGCGTGCAGGAGGAACGGGATGGGCTGCACACAGAGGGTGCCGAACTTGGCAATGTAGACATCCAAGCTCTTGAAGGGCACCATGCTGCCGAGGACAAGGGCACCGGGGTGGAGGGACAGCGAGGAAAATAATAGTTAGTGGAGATAAATGGAGAGGTAAGGGCAGGGGAAGGAACCATTTTCTCACTCAGTAGTGAACACACACAGACAGGTTTGTTACCAAGTGCAACAGCACATGCACATGAACAGCAAGCAGAGTCACAACAATGAGGGCCCTGCACTCACCACCGTACCACCTCCCCTCCCTGCACTCACCACCCTACCACCTCCCCTCTCTGCACTCACCACCCTACCACCTCCCCTCCCTGCACTCATCACCCTACCACCTCCCCTCCCTGCACTCACCACCCTACCACCTCCCCTCCCTGCACTCACCACCCTACCACCTCCCCTCCCTGCACTCACCACCCTACCACCTTCCCCTGCACTCACCACCCAGCCACCTCCCTTCCCCTGCATGGCACTCACCACCCGGCGAGCCCTTGCTTCACGATGAGCCGGAAGTCCCGCCGCTTGCTGCCCGGCCTCGTGCGCCCAGTCCTGCATCCGGGGAGAGAGAGGCATGGAAAGGCGAAGTTGGGGTGGGGTAAATCGCGGGGGAGGGGAAGAGGAAGGGGGGGAGGGAGGAAGGAATGATATGGTGTGACTCACAGCAATGCGAGAGCCAGCTAGGGGGGTGAGAGCACGAGTTGCAGCGCAGAGGCGGTTCCTTACATCACTCTCATCAAGCCACCAGCCCCTTTTTCCACGCATCCCGTCACTCCTTGTTCTATGCAGCCCCTTGCATTACTGCGAGCCAGAAGCATTGGCGAGCAGACTAGAGAAGGCCGGGGCCTGTGGAACAATTGACGTGCCTTGCAGTCAAGCCAGCATCCCTATCTTTCCCCAACCTGCAGGCAAGTGCTTTGGAGATTCCAGAAACGTCACTTGAAACGCATTCAGTCAACTCTCCTTGATCTCTGACAGCCCTGCACCTTCCATTCCCACCACCGCTTCTTTGCACCCCTCCACGTATCCATTCCCCCCCTATCCCCCCTCCCCATCCCCATCCTCCATCACCCTACCCATCCCCCTCCCCCTCCCCCTCCCCCTCACCATGCTCTAACCGCCAACGGCTTCCTGTCCGACGTGGCATGGATGGTGAACGTGGACCAATCAAACCGCCACCTCAGCTGAGGCCAGTCGACAGCTGGCATCTCTGGTACACAGCCCCAAGGGGGGGACTGCACTGCTGCCACTGCTGCTGCTGCCTCTGCGTCTGGGAGACTGGAAGGCTGAGAGCTGTGAGGGTTGTGGGGGGTTTGAGGGGAAGGGGAGTCTGACGAGATGGAGGTGGTGTGGGGAGTGAGGGAGGAGGTGGTGGGGTTGGTGGGGCGCGTCCAGGTGAGGGAGGGGCGGGAGGAGGCGGGGCGAGAGGCGCAAGAGGAGTTGACGTGCAGGAGAGAGGTGAGGAAGGAGCCGGTCGCATCGTAGACCTGAAAGGTTGGGTGGTAGGAGACAGGGAAATCAGAGAAGGGGAGGGGGGTGTCAAAGGGGAGGGGGGTGTCAACGGGGAGGGGGTGTCAACGGGGAGGGGTTGTAGAAGGCAAGGGGATAAGCGAGGGGGTTGAGGTGGGAGGCGACAGGAGAATAGGGGTGAGAAGAAAAAGGAGAGGGAGGCACCCTAAGTCTGCAGTATGAGGGGGACTGGGGGTGAGGGTGGGGGGAGGATGAGGGGGGATTTCAAAAGAGAGGGGACAAAAGGAGGGGACAGGGACGGCCTCATCAGAACCAGGAAGAGGGTGAAGGGGGGTATGCAAATGTGTTCTGTGGGCAGATGATGCTGCATGCGGGCTATCGCGACGCCACTGGCGGCGGAAGCAGCGCGGCAGTCGCAGATTTTATCGTAGGCGACGACAAGATGCGAGAATGTGATGTTGCGGTCTTATTGATGAACGGAAGGCAATCAAGGTATGTTAAAAAAGTCGCCACAATTTTAATTGAGAAACTGAACGAGAATGAATTGACTAAGGGAAAGTTGGGTACAAATGTAAACCCTAGAAAACTGTACCCCATATGTGCTACCCCACTATAGCCTACAGTAGCTATGTCATATAAATCTGACACACCCCCATAGGCAAAGTGGGGGAGAACAAGGGGTCACAAGACCAGTCAAGCAAAGCAAAGCAAGCTCAGGGTGGATCACAAAGTCACCACACATTCCGAGCACAAGTTCAAGGCCACAAGGCCAGTTCACATGCAGGATTACATATATATATAAGGCTAGACAAGCAAGAGCAGGTGTATATATATATGCAACAGTACAAACAAGGTCAAGGGGTGAGCAAGTGAGGCAAGGTAGGCACAAGACCCAGCTGAGTACAGAAGCGCTGATGATCACAAGGTGCAAGTGCCTTGGTGAAGATATCAGCAGTGTTGGCCTGGGAGGCCACGTACGCAAGCCGCAGCTGACCACGCTGCTGTAGCTCACGAGCAAGGAAGTAGCGGAGAGCAATGTGCTTCGTTCTGTGCTCCAATCTCTGCTCTCGACACAAGGCCAGCATGGCCTTGTTGTCTACGTACAGCACTGGAGGAGAACGAGGCGGCTCTCCGAGGTCAGTCAGCAGGTAGGTGAGCCAGCGAAGCTCCTGTGCAGCCATGGCCCCGGCGTAGATCTCAGCCTCACAACTGGAGCCGAGAACAGAAGACGAGCGGGTAGCCCGCCACGAAATAGAGCCGGAACCAAGGCTGAAGGTGTAACCCTGTGACGACCGCTGCGTAGCCTGGTCGTCAGCCCAAGAAGCGTCTGCGTGCCCAGTGAGGACCACTGGACTCTGCCCTCCAAGCACAAGCCCCATGCCCGACGTACTGCACAAGTAACGCAACACCCTCTTCGCTGCAGCCATGTGCTCCGGTCTGTGTCTCCCAGGAGCAACATAGCGTGCGAGAATGCTAAGAGGGTATGCGAGGTCAGGTCGTGTGCAGGTCATCAGGTACATGAGGCAGCCAACAAGCTCTGGGTACGGGCCACTCGGCTCTACGGACTCATCCGAAGGCAGAGCTGAGAGCGAGTGGCGAGTAGACAGAGGAGTGGCCTGAGGCGAGGAGTACGTGAAGTCGAAGCGCTGAAGGACCTGCTGCACCATGTGTGACTGAGTCAGGGTAATGGTGCGGCGTGCTCTGTCCCGGGTGATCTGCAAGCCAAGGTAGCTGCGCAGTTCACCCAGGTCTGTGCACGTGTGTCTCTTCTGCAGCTCGGACTTCACGTGGGCGAGTCCAGCAGTGTCAGCTGTGGCAAAGGCCAAGTCGTCGACGTACACGAGGATGTAGAACGGCGGCAAAGAAGTGTCGGTGCGCAGAAACAGCGACGGGTCGGCAGTAGAAGGAGCAAACCCAAGAGCCGCAAGTGTAGTCCTCAGTGTGTCGTGCCACTCACGCGGTGCCTGGCGGAGACCGTAGACTGGTCGCCGGAGGCTCCACTGGGTGCCAGGAGGAAAAGACCCAGTGAAGCCAGGTGGGCGACGCAGCCAGATCTCCTCGTGCAGGCTGCCCTGCAAGAAAGCAGTGCTGAAGTCAAGAGAGTGCAGCTCGTAGTCGCGGTGAGCAGCTATGTGCAGCAGTACCCGAAGAGTGGTCATCTTCGGGGTGGGAGAGAAGGTCTGAAAGTAGTCAACTCCCTGCCGCTGACTGAAGCCACGAGCCACGTAACGCGCCTTGAAGACAGGCGGAGAACCCGACGGTCGCTTCACCCTGAAAATCCACATGCCACTGACGATGTTCGCCCCAGGCGGGGGAACCTCGTCAACGTAGGTGCCTGTGGACTTCCAGGAAGCCATCTCTGTGTCCATAGCTGCCTGCCACTGAGAGGAGTAGGGACCCTCTATCGCCTCCGCGTAAGAGCGCGGAGTCGGGATGTCAAGTGCATCCGGGTCTCCCTCAGGGGTAAGCAGTACGGACACGAGATGAGGTGAAGCAGCAGCCAAACACTGGAACTCCTCCTGCCTGTCCTCAAGGACGTCCGTGCCAAGGGCACACTCACCCCCAACGGACGGAGGACAGACAGACTCAGACTCAACGACAAGACTAGCAGCGTAGTCTAGACGACAGCGAGCAGCAAAGTCGACGAGCTCAGCAACTAGGGCAGACGCAGCAGTGGACTCAAAGGAAGGGTCAGTGACGACAGTAGCAAGGAGACGCGTGACAGTAGGACTGGCAGCACGAAGAGAGTCCGACTCCGGGTCGGGAAGAGCAGGAAGAGAGGACTCAGGAGGAGAAGGCAAAGGGGCACGCAGAGGAGCAGTGGACGGACGCAGAGACATCCGGTGCGTGCCAGGGACAGGAGGAGGACGCTGACGCGAACCACGACCACTAGAGCGACAAGGACGGACAGGCGACGCAGGGCGAGACGCAGGCTCACGACGCTCAGCCAGACCTCCAGTAGGACCAGTGTAGGGAGAAGGAGCGGGCAGTGGGGAGGCCGTCTGTAACTGTAACTGTGACGGGACAGGCTGTGGACACTCTAAGGGAGGAGGAGAACCAGTAGAAGGCGGGAGACCAAGAACCTGCTGAAGGAGCGGAACGAAGTACGGCCGAGGCCGCGCGGCGACTCCAGACACGGCAGGGACAGTACCAGTACCCCCAGCGGCAGCACCAGCGCCAGCAGCACCTCCAGCTCCAGTACCTCCAGCAGCACCAGTAGCACCCCCAGGAGGACCGCCTCCAGGACCGACAGCAGTAGCCTCAGCGTCAACACCCTCAGCAGCTCCAGCTCCAGTCGTACCCGCAGGCCCAGCAGCTCCAGTACTCCCAGTACGAGCACCTCCGGGACCCGCGGCACCAGCACCCTCAGCAGCCGAAGAACCTCCAGCTCCAGCAGCACGCCTCCAGCGCCGGGAAAACCACTCGCGCAGCTCCTGTGGAGAGAGTGGCTCCCGCCGAGACGAAGAACCCGGAGAACCTCCAGGCTCAGCACCGCCAGACGCCACACGAGCAGGCCCAGCTCCCTCAGGCTCCGCACCCCCAGGCTCAGCACCTCCAGGCGTAGCACCCCCAGGCTCAGCACCCCCAGTCGTAGCACCCCCAGGCTCAGCACCCCCAGACTCAGCACCCCCAGGCTCAGCACCCCCAGTCGTAGCACCCTCAGGCTCAGCACCCCCAGGCTCAGCACCCCCAGGCGTAGCACCCACACGCTCAGCACCCCCAGAGTCAGCACCCCCAGGCTCAGCACCCCCAGCAGCACCAGAGTCACCAGCGACCTCCACAGGCTCGACTGCGTCTACCTGGGACACACTTGAAGGGGCAGGACCCTGAGGGGGAAGGGGGTCTACCGGGGGGGGACCTGGCACAAGGAAGAGCGGAGGCGGGGGGAGGGACGGAGTGCGGTAGGGGAAGAGACGGTAGTAGGGGACCGACTCGTCAAACGTGACGTCCTGGGAGGACAAGACACGGCGAGAGGTGGGGTGGTAGAACTGCCACCCTGGCGCGTCAGGGGGGAAGCCAAGGAAGACGCAGGGAGCAGCACGAGGGGACAGCTTGTCCGCAGACAAGTCGCGGACAAACGCCCGAGATCCCCAGACACGGAACGCAGACGCATCGCCAACCTTCCCCGTCCACAGCAAAGCTGGGGAGGTCTCCGGCATGGAGACCCTGGGCTGAAGGTTGATCTGATGCGCCGCGTACCGAACCGCAAACGGCCACAGAAAATGGGGGGCAGCCGCATGCATCATGGACGTACGGGCGACGTCCATGACCATGCCAATGCGGCGCTCAGCAATCCCATTTTGCTGTGGAGAGTCCGGAAGCGTGAAGGTCTGGCGGATGCCTCGTGCACGACAGTAGGCTCGCAGAAGGCCAGAGGAGAACTCTCCACCTCTGTCAGAGTGCAGACGCAGAACAGGAAAGTCCGAGCCGAAGCTCTGCCTGAGCTGGAGACGAGCTGCGCGGATCCAGTCGATCAACACCTCAGTGACATCACCCTTGCTGCGCAAGGGGAAGACTGTGGTGTAACGCGAGTAGTCGTCAACCACCAGCAGGAAGTAGCGCTCGTGACCCTGTCCACGGACGCGGGCCGGGCCCCACACGTCCATGTGAAGCGTCTGCAGCGGGGCCTCTGTCGGAGGAAACTGGGAGGAGTGAGGGGCAGCCCGCTGCCGCCCCTCGACACAAGGGACGCAGGTAGGGCCTGGCCCCGGAGGAAGGGGAGGGAGGGACCGGGGAAGACCAGAGACAAGGACACGGGAGGCCATGCCTTGGAGACGAAGCAGGGAGGGGTGACCAAGGCGGTGGTGCCAGAGGAGAGTCTCGTGCGACAGGAGGCGACACGAACAGGGGGCAGACTCAGGACCAGACCTGGACGCTACAGCAAACACCTGACCCGACGCAGCTACCTGACCAGACGCAGTGACTGGAGGAGACGCAGTGGTCAGTGTGTACAGGCTCGACCCCGGCCGACGTGTAAACGTGGTCAGGTGTCGGCCTGTCCGAGCGTCCGTGCAGTGGGTCACCCGCTGACTCGCAGGAGTGAACTGGTGAACCCCCGCATCCTGTAGGTCAGCACCACTCACCAAGTTCGTAGAGAACGAGGGGAGGTAAAGACCAGACAGGGTGCCAGAGGGGGCCGCCGGACACGGGAGGACAGTGGAGAAGTGAGCAAGGACAGGACCCCCAGAGGGGTCTGCCAGAGAGACTGCAACTGGCCGGCCAAGCGGCGTGAGTGTGGTGCGGTCTCGAAAGAAGGAGCGAGAAGCCCCCGAGTCAAGGGTGAAGGTGTGGGAGGCCGAAGCCGACGCAGTACCTGAGAGAGCAGACTCACCAGCACCTGAGGGAGCAGACACACGAGCACCTAGAGCA